TATTTATATAGACAGTGGGTCTCTTCACACTTTCACTGTATTTTACTTATTATATTATTATGAAAAACCATTTAAAACCTCAGTCACGTCTCGCTCTCCTCCTGCGTTACATCACAATCCCTTCATTTGTAAGAAACAGGTTCATCTTCAGAGAGTCGCTCTCCTGTGCTCGAGGCCAGTTTACCTGCAGGTGAACACTGGGTGTGTTTACACCGGTCGCACCGGTTCAACAGCCTCAGACGTGGATCTGAGAAAAACAGACTGCAGGAGGAAGCGTCCACCTCCTCCGCTTCCAGAGAATCAGAGACATGAAAGACGTGTTCACGGACGTGTTAACTTTTTTAACTTTATCTGGAGTAAAATTGTGGAAAAGTGGGACGTTTTTATTTAAACATCATCTCATGGCCTCATTTGTTGCAGTGTCCTTAAATGAATGAAATCAGTTTCTCATTCCCTGTGAGAACGTTAAAATGCAGAGTCGATCAAATAGAAGCTGGAGGTCTCGTCAGATCTAGATTCTTGCTCTTGACGTAAACGTGGAAGAGTTGAAATACGACACCGAAACTTTCAGAGCTGGTGTTTGGCCTCTGATAACATCTGTACACAGAGAGAGGCGCTCAGGCCGCGAACTGTCACTCACATGGTAGCCACGCCCCCAACGCATACAGTGCTTATGGTGTATTTGACTCTAAACGGCCAAAAAGTATTTTGGGAAACATTTACTGACGTTATAAATAAAATGTGAGTGTCTATAATATATTTATTTATTTATATATATATATTTGGTCACTTCCTCACGGCTCAGTCTCTTTCCATCTTGAGCAGTTAAACGCTCCGAGCTCTCACCTTGATGACCTTGATGGATTGTTTGATCTCCTCCAGTTTCTTGGCTCTCTCCTTGATCAAGTGTTTCAGCTCCGACCTCCTCTTCCCCACGTTACTCTGTGGACAGACAGACAGGATTGTGGGTCACTGATGATCTCTCGCTACATCAGAGTCCTTCAGGTACTCTTGAGACAACATAGGAAATATAAACCTGCTCGCAAACTCATCATTTTCTCTTTATTTCCATATGTAGAGTCTCACCATTTTCTTCTTCCACTCGTGGTCGGTGGTGACGATGTCGTGGGACTTGTGCGTGGCCTCGGCGCAGGCCGTGCAGATGCAGACGTGGTCGGTGCGGCAGTAGACGTCCAGGAGACGTTCGTGTTTCTTACAGATCTTGTCCTCCAGGTGGAAAGTGGGTTCGATGAGACGATGAGACGACAGAGACTTCACCTGCATGAAGGGATGGAGAGAATTGTGTTTGAACGTCTCATCAGTTTGCTTCAAATCCTTTTTTTGCTTTTCTTCAAAACCAGAAGCAAACATGCTGAGTTACAGAGAAATACATGAACTTTACAGACAAGATATCATTTTCATAAGAACACATAAAAAGTGAGGTTTATTTATTAACTTGCAGAAACCCTAAAACCCAAAGCAGCAGTCTGACCTTTTTATGATGCCGTAGGTGCGTCTCACAGAACGACCCGGGACAGTTCACACAAGACTTCAGCGCCTTTAACTTCCTCCCAATGCAGGCACCACACGGGACCTCCCCAGGCTGGGCAAACTCCCCGGTATCGATCCCTGATGGGCCACCGTGGCCCGAATCTGAGCTCAGGTTCAGCGTGGACCCTCGCGAGGAGGCCCCTCCGTCCACGGTGGCCCCTCCGGCCATCAACAGCCCCTGAAACTGGGAGGAGATCTCAGCCAGGACCCTGTTGACGCTCATCTCGGGTTTCTTGGAGTAGTTCTTCTTGCACATGGGGCAGGAGAGCTTCTTGCTGTGGTTCCAGTAGCCCTGCAGGCAGGCCTTGCAGAAGCTGTGGCCGCAGGGCGTTGAGACGGGCTCCACGAACACCTCCAGGCAGATGGAGCAGCTGAACTGGTCCTCGGAGAGGACGCGGCCTCCCGGAGAGCTAATGCCTGCAAGAGGGAGGAAGAGACGGAGACAAGACACTTAACTACACATCTACAACTAGAAGGTAAATACAGAGAGTATGACAACGCCAAGGCCCAACAGTCAAACCACAGAGGAGTGAAAGTCAAAGGTCGGTTTTAATCTGACTCTGGTCTTTTATTGGCTCAAGGACTCGATCATAAACAGTCACAGAGAAAGACGAGACAGAACAATGAGTGAAAGGAGATTATTTTGTGTCATGACCTGAAATATTTGCTATAAGACGACAATACTTCAAAAGTGTCAGGTTGTGTTTCTACATGAGGAGCAGAAAGGAAAGTGACTAGAAGTCTGAGCAGTTGTTCCTCTTTTGTGTCTTTTACGCGATTCCATTAACTATTATTTAATCTTAACCATATACTCATAAACCAAAGGCACCGTCCTAATCAGAGAACCTGGGAATCAAACTACCAACCCAACACTTAATGCTGACATTTGAAACAAGGGGGAGTTTTTTAAATCTGGAGTAATGCTGTTGTTAAAAGTACAACTTCGGCCACTAGGGGTCTCAATTGAAACCATAACACAAGACCTAGTGTGATGACTTTGTGAAGCAGCGTGGAATCATGGGAGTTGTTGTCTTCACCTGATGCAACTCAGTTGTTACCGAGCAACGAGTGACCAATACAAACAGGAAACTAACAAGCGAGCAGCGCGAGTTTCCTTCGTTATACGTTGAAGTCAGAGACAAAACCAGTAAAGTTGATGTGTCGCAAAAACAGGTGACAAAACGAAACGTCCTGTTACCTTGAATAAAACCTGGTTTCTCTGGGTTTGAACAATGTTGGAAAAATATATAACATAGGTTTAGTCGTTAGACGAATTAATCATCCGGTGGCTGCAGAGGGCGCTGTTGCTTAGTGAGAGTTACGGAGTGTCTAGTATAGACATGTTATATCTTTAAAACAAATATTGTATTGTTAGTTATTTAGAGGATTAACGTATTTTGTCTGTTTTATTTTGGAATGGATATTTGCTGGTAGTATCGAGGTTGATTCAAAGTCTTGTACTAATATTCAGGGAGGTGAACAAACAGTGAAAACACGACTCGTTAGATGACGTTTGTGATCGAGGCGAGAAAACATCGTGTTCATGACACGACAACGTGAAGCTGTTTGTCTCAGACAGGAAGTGTCTTTAAATGTTAATCTGTCCAGTGGTGGGTGAAGGAACAATGAGAGGAATGTAGAAACTCAGGACCTTCTACCTCTCTGCTGCAGGTTTAAAACAAAACACAACCTGGGCTGTGAATCCATGTTAAAATAAAATACGATTACTGTTTTACTTTAAAATCCCTCAGATATCTTCTGATTAACGTGGACGTCACAGAATCAATATTCTTTATGGAATGTACGGTTTTCAAAGTTTTCTCCTGTGACTCTGTTTGTTTCCCTTATTTATGTTTCCCTTTCTTTAATTATGTTTTTTCTGTTCAATAACAAATGAATGATTGGTTTTCACACCACGTCCTTTTTTCCTTTTACTCTAAAGAACAAAATAATCACGTGTAGGATTGTTCGGGCTACATTCTGATAGTAATGTACGATAAATCATTTCAGCACATGAACGTCAGTATCAGTCATTGATCATTTCTATCAAAAACCAAACAAAGAAATGCTCTCGGCTGAAACTTTTCATGATTGTGTGAAAGTTCCTTGGAGAAAGAATCTGTTAAACTCATTTCACTCAGCAAAAGTAGAGACTGAGACGTTCCTGACACGTGGAAACAAGCTCAACATGGAACTCTGAGTTGGATGAATCTTTAGAGAAGTAGTAACGACTGAAAACGAGTGAAATAAAGAAGTAGAACTTACTCTGCATGTTTCCCTGTGACGTGGTTCGGTGCTCCACTTCCTGCACTTGGCTGTGACTCACACACACTAACAGGTGCTCAGCTAATCTTCCTGGAGCTGGAGAGGCCCTCCCACTCTCAGTGTGACACACCCGAGCCTGGTGTGAGATCACGCTCTGTCCTCTGGGGCTCTGAGCGGAGATAAGAGCCCCTGAACCCAAACCCCAGTGGCGGAGCTAGAATTTTTCTCAATCGGGGGGGGGGCATCATTTACGATTACACACAACACAACTCCTGATTCAGTAATGTGCACATTTAAGTGATTCCTTGTTTCCTGTGGATCTGAGCACAGCCGCACGCTAACATATTTCGAGAAATTGTTTCTTGTTCTATTTTCTCAAGATGAGAAAATAAAAACTCTTCTCAACATTGTCTGAAAGCAGCATCGGAGTGAGAGTGTGTGCAAACCTGTGTGTGTGTGTGTGTGTGTGTGTGTGTGTCTTTATGAATCATGTCTAAGTAATGCATTCTTGAAACCTGCACCTCTCCATCTCCACCACTAGTGGGCGGCCTTTGCCTGACACTGAACCACCGGCTTCTGCAAACGAGACACTTTACATTCATGCTGCATTTTCACCCTATACAGTATCTGATGCTGTCGTCCATGGCAACGAGAGAGCACAACAATAGGCTTCAAATCCCGCAGGTTATCCACTCGGCAAACAAACACAAGTGATCCGGCAGAAAACTGCTGCACACGACAAACACCGGAGTTTAAAACCAGGAGATGGATAGATAGAGAGAGAGAGAGATACTGTAGATCAATAGATAGAGACTGTAAATAGATAGATAGATAGAGAGAGAGAGATATACTGTAGATAGAGAGAGAGAGAGAGATACTGTAGATAGAGAGAGAGAGAGAGAGAGATACTGTAGATAGATAGATAGATAGAGACTGTAAATAGATAGATAGAGAGAGAGAGAGATACTGTAGATAGATAGATAGATAGATAGATTGATTGATTGATTGGTTGATTGATTGAAGGTTTAGACAGGAAGCAGTTAATATGACTTGAACCTAACGTCCTCTGCTGCTCTCCTTCCAGTCCGGGCCTTTAAATCCACCGTGGCCCCGGCGGAGGTCTGGAGGAGACGGATGTTCTTTGCACTGCAGCTGTATCGATGAGACACTGGAGAGGGGGGTCTGTTCCAAAAACCACCACGTGTCCAGGTCTCTGAGGTGATATCGATCCTTCCTGTCTTCCTGCAAATGTCACTGAATCTCTGCTCGGCTCGTGCGTATCCTGGATCCTCTTACATCCTCAGTGTCTTGTGATTTCCTACAGTCTGACTCCACTGGGCTTAAACCCCATCATGGATTTTCCTCCTCTCTGTTTTACTTTAAGTTTGTTTAAACGCTCAGACTCTTCTCTCCATTATTCTTATTCTCATCACTGCAGTGGAGCCTTCTGAGGTGTTGGAACGCCTCCTGTGATAAAACAGATGTGTGTGTGAGTGTGTGAGTGTGTGTGTGTGTGTGTGTCTCCACACGTGCACGTGGGCCATGCGTGTGTGCATGCATGCTCGTGCAGCCCCTACAGCAAACCCACTGCAGAGAATGTGTCGCATGATGTTATGGAGCTACAGTTTCTTGGAGTCAGTGTGGTGGTGGGTAGGTGGGGGGGATTCTGCTTTCTCTCTTCCTGTCGCAGTGTCAGTCAAGGTAAATGTAYCCCCCCCCCCCCTCTCTCTCTCTTTTCTCTTTTTCCTCCCCCTTTCTCTCTCTCTCTGTCTGTCCACTGGCAGCTCCATCTATCTTTTCATCTCTTTTTCCTGTCTCTTGTATTTTCCACAACCCAATCCAAATGTTCTCTCTCAGGTTTATTAATAGAAACTATACCCCTCTCTCTTGCTTATTCTCTCCATCGCTTCCTCTTTTTCTCCCCCTTCCCTGCAATCCTGCACTCAGCAGAGTCTCTGCACTGAAGCCCCCCCCCCTCTCATTCCTCCACATCTCTCACTCTGAACTCCTTCATGTTGAACCCACATCTTTTATTTTCATGTAAAAACATCAAATTATGTTTTTATAACCCACTGCGTCTTCCTCAGAACCCCCCCCCCCCCCCCCCCACTCCTCTTCTTCACTCCTCATCATCCATCTTCCTCCAGATGCTCTCCTCAGGTATCGGCGCTCTCCGGTGTTGGTGGTAAACTCGCGGTGCCCCGGCCACCGGAGGACGAACCCAACGTCGAGGTGACGCATCAACGCAGGAAACCATCGTCACAGCCGAGCTTCACATTGACTCTGAGAGGAGTCTCTTGCTCAAGGGCACTAGAGCAGAAGCTTGAAGTATTTGTAACCGAGGCTCACGAGGTTCTGTAAAAGTATTTTCAGACTGAATGATTGTACCAGAGTGAAGCAGCTGATTCGTTGATCATGTAGAAATAAAACCAATGTATTTAATCATTTACTGTAACTTTACAGTTTTTACAGTACAGCGTTAGTATTAGTATTTCTATATGCATTAAAAACTTGACTGTACTTTCTACAATGATTTGAAAACTTTATAATTACACGACGAAGACTTTTTCAATGACATATTACATTTCCTTTATCTAGAGGACTGATTTCTAAGAGGGCGGCACGTTGGTGCAGTGGTTAGCACTCTGTTAGCAACATGGCTCCCGGTTGGAACCCCTGCTTGGCCGTGGTCTTTCTGTGTGTTCTCCGGGTGTCAGACTTCCTCCCACGCTCCAGAGACGTGCACATCGAGGTTAAGTTAAGTGGACACTCTTAATTGTCCGTAGGTGTGATAATGAGCATGAGTGGTTGTTTATATTTGATTCCCCTGCTGGGATGCGCGTGTGTCCGACGTGCTGCAGAATCTAAATTAAACTCTGAATCTGAGGGATTCAAACGTGGTTTCAAATCCCCACTTCTGCTTCTCTACGTGTCATCACCTCTGGTGCAGAAGAGGATTTTCCCTGGAAGGAGCGACCTCCGTCGACATCAGCAGTCTGAGCCTCGTGGAGACCTGTCACTGCATCTGAGAGCGAACGCAGGCTGTGCAGCTGCGTGGATGTGAAACAAAGAAAAAAAATCCCAGCGGTAAATCAAAACACAATATACGCTGCCTCTCAAGTGATTTTTTATTTTTAGCCTAACAATCACTGACAGGCATGTTTTTTTTTTTCCCCTCCCTGTAGCTTCAGCCCCCTGACGCGAGCAGCTGATGAAAAGCTGCAGTGCTTCATTCACATGCACAACTCAATATGTGAGCTGCTCTGTTCCTGCAGCTCCTGCCTGTTGCTGCATGTGTGTGTGTGTGTGTGTGTGTGTGGGAGGTAAATCACTGAGTCCTTTCACTCTAACATGTGTATCACACGCGTATCAGGTAAGACCTTAACATGCATCACATGCTTTTGTCGCCCTGATGACACTGTTTTTTATTTCCCGTGCAGCTGAGACATGAAAGCATCATGTATTTGGGCCAAACTGGGATTTTCTATAAACCATATTCTGCTCAAACAGCTGAGAACGCTGTGCCATGCTGCAGCTGACAGCAGCATCCTCCTCCTCCTCCTCCTCCTCCCTTCAGATCTGATCTGATCTGAAGCCGTCTGATCTCATCTCGTCCCTCCCCCCCTCCCCCCCTCCCCCCCCAGTCTCGTGCAATCTGAAGTATTCTGTCCACATATGTCTTAATAAAAAAGCCGCTGACAGCCAAGGAGGACGAGCGGGAGCGCGCGGCCCTCGTCATGTGATGATGTGAGACGTTTTGAGGTTGAAGATCATGAGGCTCAATAAACAAGTGAAATCCTAACCCTTCAGTTCTGGAACTTCCAAAAATAGCTGCAGGATTTTCTTCGGTTTAAACCGAGCGCTGGAGCCAAAGTTCAGCTCGATTTGAAAAAGCTGTTTTCCTTTTTTCGCCTGAGCAACTTGTTCAAACACACACTCTCCTGATTCTCTCCTGTTTTATTCATCACCTCAAACAAAGCAGCTTGACCTCTGACCTTCTACTTATTCTTTTTTACATAACACATGTATGTATCATGTGTCGAGCAACGTACACTATGTCCTCTGGTACTTCCTGTTGACATGTGATACTTTACTTTTACTATTCTGCCCTGAAGACACGGGACACGCAGCTCTCGGTGCAACCTCCCCATTGATCCTGTGACAGAGAAATTGACGAGAGGGAAAATCGATCCTCCAGAATTGAAATTGATCCTCGATGGAAAAAAGAATCGATCGTCCAGAGAGAAAAGTGATTCCTCGAGAGGAGGAGGAAACTGTGTCAAATAACTAACGGGGAGTAAAAGAAGAAATCCAACATTATAGATTTTAGATCCCTGAGCACAAGCTCGATTAAATACTGCAGTACTTGTATCATGCAGGTCGTCGTGGATAAGACCAGAACTGAAAAAATCAAAGTACACATAAATGCGCAAGATGGCAGCGTTGGTTTCTGGGATGTTTTGGCTCCATCTGTACATTCAGCATCTGTGGGCCTGAGTTAAAATCAGCACATAGAGACATGAAGGTAAAGTAAATCCTCTTCCCTGAAAACAACCTTTAAACACAGAGCGTAAAGTTCTGATCTTCGGTCTTGAATCCTGAATTTTCGAAGCCGAGAAGAAAGGAAATATTTCTCTGGCGCTGAAACTCCGTCACGTGTGCTGAGGCTTATTTTCCTTCCATATTCATTCACAAACCTTTTGCCAAAACAAACCTCTGGACGAGTCGAGGATCATTATTAAACTGGACTGAATCAAATTAGAACATTTCAACCTTTTCGACTTCAGACGCCCAAAAACCAGAGCGATGTCTGGTCCTGAGCTCCGATGAGTGAATATGAACACACGTGAACTCGCTGCAGAGTTCAGACACGTTCCAGATTTTAATCGTATGATGAAATGATTTAAGTTGCGTTCAGTTACTGTTATTCTGCATTTCCCACAATCCCTTTGTCTCCTGCAGTAAAAGACTGTGACGCTTCTTAATCATATGTGAACACGACTCGGGCCTTCATTGGATTCTAATGTGATGAGGTCACAGAAGAGGACAACAATGTATTTCTACTTCTGCAGTTTCTCAACATCGTGGCTCGATGTTTATTCTGTTTCTCGTAGATTCTGGATTGTTGATGCTTGAGGCGTTTATTCGTGCTGCAGTGAATATTCTAACGACGT